TTTTGTTTTTTTAGCATTACTTTCTTGATATTCACTGCATAGCTCCAATCATTAGTTACACAAACGTCAAAGCTTTATTGAATAAAGCCACCCATTAGTCACTTATCACAGCTGGCGTGGCTAGCACTTTTAATGCAATTTTTGACAAAGATTACTTCCCAATAAATAAATATTCAATATTTTGGACTGTAAATAGCTGGGTAAATTAAATAAGACATGCTGGTTTTGAGGAAAAAATTATTTCAATGCTGCCTGCCCTTTTGTTTTGAGTGGCTTACCACATTAAGGCCTATGATAGGCTTAGCACGTAAGACTGACCTGAAACGGTTAGTCAGAAATGTTTTAAAGGCAATCGTACTGTTACAACGAGCAAGATGTTGAAACCTTGTGTCGAAATTGTATTTGAGTGCAGGGAGTGCGATTATTTGCTGGAGGGCATCCATATTTACAGCATGAATAGCCCCATCTCTGTGAACGACTAATGTCTGAAAAGTGATTGTGAATGAGGTACTTTTTCACTGGAAGTGAAAAGAATGCTGTGCCAACCAAAGGTTTATGAAAAGCACCCAGAAGTCCAGAGAGACTCTGCAGAGATTACTAAAGCAGGACAAAAGCTTGCCTTCGTGAGTAGAGAATATCTCCCATTTGCGCCCTTGTTAATTGTCTGAGGGCTGTCTAGCTCTTGATGTTAACCTGCAGTGGGCGCTCATCATTGCAGCCTTTTATGCATGTGCCTTTGTGGAGTAAAGGTCACATACTTTCACAGTTATACCCAAACATACACGCGCGCAGCTTTTTCAGCGGTGCCCATGTTGTCAGTTCTTAACTCTATTTTGCTCTTATGAATCATTACATATATACAATGAACCACATGATAGGCTTCTAAATAACTTATCAGTTTAAAATGGCTGTATGCTCTGTGAATGAACGATCTATTTGTGCACAATAATTTCTAGATGAGTGGCAGCGGCATCACAATGGAGTGTGGCACAAGAGCGGGTGGAACGGCCAGCTAGGGTTTGGTACCAGGGCTTCGTGCTGGTGTACCACATGTTGTGCGCCAATTCTCAGACACCATGTTATTCGGACTTTGGACAAACTTGCCCACTCAAGTAACATGTCAGTGGAAGCAGCTGCTCCTTCTTTACATGGTTGGCGGAGTTTAAAGACCAGCAAGACTGTATGAGTGAGCCGCTTCGGCACGAAGGTTTGGAGGGAACAATTGTGCTGCTAATGAAAGGACGTGCTCGCTAACCACCACAAACGGTCGTCGTGTTCCAGAAGACCACCTCTGTGTATCGCACAGACACGCAACCGAGTGCCGGATTAATTTGTTATTTTCGAAGAACTTGTGCAGTGATTGTAAGAACGAGCCTCGGCAATGGTACTGAGGCAAGGTCAGTTCTGGAGAGAGGATGCGATGAACAGTGTTCCAGGAGTAAAGTCCTACTGCTCTTTGGAACAATTTAGTGCGAATGCAATGTTCTTGCTTAGTGAAGCTTACTTGTAGCATGGGTGTTTACAGATGGTTGCCAAAGGGGTGCTCCCCCGATCCACCCAAGCCACAACAGCACCCGCTTCCTACCCAAACTAAAAAATCGCTCCCCCTTTTCCCACCTACAATGCAGCGCAGGTTTGCATCCCCCAACACGAAATTTTGCCGATTCTCATGCTCGGTAGTGACGGACGGGCCGAGGCGCTGAGGAAGATGGGCCTGTCGATCTTGGCAGCTCTTGAACTAAGCAAAAACGGAACATACAGTGCCAGCGTACGACCCAAACGTAAAAGGGAACACATAATGGTGCTATTGTGTATTCCCTTTCTATGTCCTTGTCGTATACTTGCACAGTGCATTTTATAATGCTTCACCAGCAAGCCCAACTTCTCTCCCTTGATAAATGGAGAATCATCTTTTGCTGACTCGGCTGGTGCTGTCACTTGAAAAGTATGTCATCGTGTGACACCGGGAAGTTGTGTCATGTTTTCATGACTGGGGAGGTAGTCATGTGGGAACGGTTTATTGTGATGCCCGTGGAACAGGGATGTTAGCGTAGTGGCGGTGGCATTCTGAACACACTTGGTTCCTAGCCTATTGTGCGGGATGTGTTCTTGTTGTAAACGTTGCGATTTCCAGCTGACGCAAATGCAGTTGCCCACTGTCGGAATGAACAATAGTGATACCTTCGGACAAAAGCATTTCCGTTTCGCTCCTTGTACCCTTTCTATGGGTACGACTTATAGTTCAGTTGCTTGTACGAAAAAAAGTGGTGCAAGTGCTTTCGAGAAGGTAGGTGGCGGCAGCATCGTCATGTTTTGGGCTGTGCACTTCTCACCAATTGGCGAGTTGAACTGCAGTGACAACAGGATGGGAAAGAAAAATACAGTGCATTGTGCCAATTTAAGTTCTTGACAGAGTACATTGCATTAGGAAAAAGAATGAAAAGAGAACACTGACCCTATTGATAGTTCTAATATTCACTGTCACACTGGCACGATTCCCATATCCACAGCAGAAAGGAAAAAAAACAAAGAAAGCTTTTGATGGCAGATGTGGTTATTGGTCCTCAACATTGAGGAAGCAATGAACACCTACACAATTTAACATGACCTCAATAAAAATAGCTACCCGATCCTGATCAGTGTTTCGAAATGTACGACACTGGCACTGCTGTCTTGGGACTCTTCAACTTTGAAAAAGACGGTGTGAAGCCACGTAAAGTTTTGAATAATAGTAAACTGCAAGATTGGTCACAATGTTAATGTGTTTTCGGCCTGATGGATTCGAACACACCTCTTGAACCCTTTCCATTGAAAGTGAGCCCTCTTTTTGATTGTGTTGCCGTAGTGGTTCTATGTGAAGGCCAGCAACTGCTTAACCAATCTGAGCTCCAATTAGTCTGAACGTTGGCTGAACCTTGCACTCATCTTCTTAATACGAGTCCAAGTCCAGTTTTGTTTTTAGCGAATACTAGCCAAAAGAATATGCACCAACTCGCACTTTCACCTATTCTCTGCAACATGGCATAAGACACTGAAAGATCTCATGCATTTTCAGCCTTCCAAAACTTCTCTGTATTTGATAATTTTGGAGGAGCTAATGTTCTAATGCGGGGCAGAGGAGTTTGAACACTATAATCAGCACGGCCTGTTGACTTCCGAAGAACAAAGGGATGGGCAGACTCCTCAGCTTCCGAACTCAGTGAGATTCTAGTCTGCAGTCTCGTATTGCGCTAGTTTATTTTTCATCGCCTTCTTACAACACATTGTTACGAAGTTGACCCAGCATGACACTCAACAAACTCGTCTAGAGTAGTAGCTGTCGCTTGCCCATCGTGGCTGTGGTCGCAGGCAAGTTAGGCAGCTTGGCAATTTGGCAATTGAGCACCTCAGCAACCGTAACTGTCAACTTCTTGCCTTAGCACCCATTTAGGGATTTTGCTGCTTTTGTTCTCTGGCACGACGGTTGTTGGACCAGATTTCTCCTTTAGCAACAACTGAGTGAGCAAGCACTCGTGGCAGCAGCATGTACTTGGCGTGCTTTTGTCGTCTTTTTTATACTTGATGTTCTTTTGCTGTTTGGGGGCGAGTTTCTTAATGTCACGGTGCTAAGGATACGGTGTTACAGAAAATTCAGCGTTGTCGGCATCAGTGGCATTCTATGTAAATAATAACAGTAGATGCACTCCTTGAAAGTCGGGGTTCAAGCTGGAAATGGGTTTCAGGCATTTGATATTGCAGCCTAGCTGTGATCTCAGAGTCGTGCCAGCAATCGAATCTCCTTATGGAATTACATTACAGATATTTTTATAATAGACACCTAGAGAATACTTCGCTACATTGCAAAATGTTGCATTAAGGCATAGTGAACTTCTCACAGCTGTACTTGCATTAGGGGCCCTAGGAGGGTTTACAGTGGCCAATATTGTGTGTGGAGACCTAAGTTCCCTCACAAAGTTGTTGAGATGTTCATCGAGAAAGGAAGCGTGACAAGGTAATTTAAATAGGGCTCTTCAACTATGTAGCACTCCACTGTGAAAGGTGTATGCGAAAGAGGGTATCCCCCAAGCCTTATTATTAACAGGAATTTTCTTCAGGCCACCAGGGCTTCATTGAAAATCTTTGGTGCACGTCTGGATTAAAGTCCACCATGGTGCTGAATCTCTCAACAGCTTTTTGTCAGCCAGCACATCGCCATGTGTGAACGTCTTTTCTTTTCATTCAGCTTGTCGACCTTTGCTGGGCCTCTCCTGTTCTTGGATATCAAACAAAAATATTCACACTAAGGCATGCATAGGCAGTGCAGTATTTAATATGAGATATATACACAAAAAGAAACATTTCAATATTAGACAAAATACAAAGGAAATCAGTAAGGTTTATCTTTAATAAATACAGCTCGGAGGCATCAGTCACGTCTCTTCTAGAAACGGCTGAGGTCGAAAAATTAGCAATTAGCAAATTGGCGATACCACGAACTATTTTACCTTCTTTATCATGGACAGTTAGGTATATGAAAGGATACATATCTAAAAGACTGCCACCGGCGGATTACTCTGTCCCTTCATAATAAAAAAGTAACAGAGGTCTTCTAGTCACACCAACATGTTCCAGTATTCTATTTTCCCGAGAACTGCAACCAGATTGGAATTATCTCCCCTCAGTTGTGGTGGAATGCCTGTAACTATCATGCTATCTACAGGCCCTTCAGTCCATGGGCACACAGGTTTGACATAGTTTTACATGAACCCTGATGCTCTTTTTCCTCATATGTTTACATATTCATGTTTTCACTAGTTATTTAAATATCTTGCTGCTTTGTGCGAATTTGTTGTATTATTCTTCTTTTGTTGTTATTATCGCCACTGTGCCTCATATGTGTTTATTGTAACCATTTTTTTTTGTCTGAATATCGGACTGGCAGTATTGTAATAAATAAATAAATATGCAATATGTATTCTCTTGTATGTTGATTGACCCCATGATCTCTTTTTTTGCGCAGTTGTGTTGGTGTTGCGGCTGCTGTGACTTACTGGAACCCCACTAGAGGAAATGGAAGAATGCTGGCACACGTGACCTTGACGCAAGGAGCCAAGATGCTAAGGTAGCAGTGGGAGCCCAACGGCAGCGTGCTCTCGGCAGAGGCGACGGAGTCCGTACCGCAAGTGGCGAGTGGCCATCATCATCACCCACTCTTTCTGCTTGGCACGACAAATTTTTCACTGCCTTTCGGATGCTTTCCATGGCTTCTTTCTGTTGACATGGTCTCTTTAGTGTTGTGACATCATGTAGGTGTGCTCGCAAGTTCCCGTACGTGCGCCGATGCTCGAATCACCTCTACTGCCTGCAGGCACCACTTCTTGTCATTCCAGCATTTAAAGTGGCAGTGCGTGTGTCGTGGCCGTGTGCCTTGATCGTCGTATGTCTGAGCTGTCGTAGGTCGGCCTGCATTGTGTGAGGTGCAGCGATGGCAAGACTCGAAAAGTGATTCTGTGATGACTGACCGTGCCTGCCACTGTGTTCCGTGTGGTGTGAGTGTTGCTGATACTGTGTGCGCTCTGCTGCTGTCGTGGGAGATCGGCCATTGTTTGCTTCGTCTGCCCGCCTGCACTGCCTCTGTTCACTGGATACTTCACAAAGACAGCAAGACTGACGGCTGCGCATCCACTGCAGGTCTGCTCTCGTGAAGGCTGGGTCTACAACGCCTGAACGTCGTGGATCCCGGAGGTGAGTCAGTTCTGAGTGGTGTTGATTGCAGCTCTTGCGTGCCCGTCCCTTTAAACGAACAAGGATGAAAGAGCGTGAGTGCAGAGTCTTTGAACATCACGAGCCACTGGCCTCAAACCTTGCTTTCCTCCTCCGTCATGTGAGTTTGGTCCTCGGCCGGAGCTCCTATGCATGCAGGGCTGGCACTTGCACTGCGGCTGGCTTTGCCTGTAACTGTGCTTTCAGTGCTTCACTAGGTTCGAAACACCTGCAGTGCACCGATTGGTGTGTGCAGCACTCGAGCTCTGGCAGTTTGAGTGGAAATATGAAATGAATACTACATTGCTACAACTGCAGATTGTCAAAACTTCAAACACAGTTTGTATAGCCACAATGCGATTGTGCGTTCAGAATTCACATTAGACAGTATTGCAATTGTCGCTACATTTTTTCAAGTATAGCTTGGTAGTTGCGCATTGTTCCATGCTGTAAACGGCAAATTGCAACGTTTCACTTTAGCCGAGCTCCTAAGCGACCAGTGTATATACCACTGATGTTGAACCAAGCAAGGCTTCATACACGGTTCACTTTCATGTTAGCAGCCTTCAGACAAAAAGCACACAACTTACCTACCTGGTGGTTTTTGCGATGACATAAGTGGTAAGAGTGAAGCAGGTAGTACCAGCAGTTTCTCAGGCATATGGATCTCGACGAAATTCGTGGTGTGTTCACGAAAATACGTGATGTGTTCCACATTTTTGTGGCAAGTAAAACTTTTAACACATTTTTGTGGCAAGTAAAACTTTTAACATCTGTTGGGAGTGTTCAGAATGGGGACAAATCCGAAGGGGATAGAGGTGGAGCCTAGTGATATCAACTCTCGAGGAGAATTCCCCGCAAATGTCACCCGCCTTGCTCGCACGGATGAGGCGGACGGAGGGGGAGACCAGTGTTAACAGACAACCCTGGTGGCTTGTACCGCCTGTTTTCACCAGCTGCTAAGTGTGAAACCACCAATGCAGTTGCGCTCTCTCCGGGAGCGAGTGCCATAATGTAATGACACACTTGCGCAAAATTCCACCTTATCCCCCCACTGCGGAGGATAGTTTAACCTATTGAGGAAAAGGTCCCCGCTTCCTTCTAGTAGGTGCGAGGAGATTGCATGTGCTCGCTTATGGTGGATCCAGACGACGGACCAACCTGCAGGCGGCCAAGTAACGTGACAATAAAGAATGCAAGAGGCCCATTCCCTGCGCCTTACACCCGGGCAGTTGGAAACAGAAGGGATAAAGCCCGGGCCGATACCAGTTCCAAACTTGAACGATGCTGCGCGCTCGTCTTCAAAAAGAGCCCTCAAGTTCGAGGTGAAGAAAAGTAAAAAAACCCGTCTTGTGGACACCCCACCTCTTCGAGCATGCGGCCCACAGCCAAGGATGAGGATAGGCGGTTCATGGAGCCGCTGCCCAGCTACGAACTCCCTCAACTGTAAGAGGAAGGTCATGCGACAATGAGGCCGTGGGCCAAAAAAGTGGTTGGGCCTATCATCTAGATACACGATTATCCGTATTGGCACATGATCCGCCATCACCGCGTCTCCTCCAAGAATTTCTCTGCCGTGTGAATATCCCTTTAGGCACCCTGTTCTTGCAGATTGTAATGTGTGCAGCAGAGAAATGGTGTTTGTGTTGATGTCTCGTGAACCCTGTTTATACTTTTTGAACGTGTAGGAAAGCCTGTAATATTGGTTGAAAATGCAGTCGTAAACGTGCCGATGAAATGTTCTACTGCGTGCAGCACTGGTTCCAAAGTCTTCCATAAAGCTTTGGTGGGTACACTTATACAAGCACCAACAGTGCACATGGAAGTGCTTTTGCTATCTTAAAGGGGCCATGAAATGGTCACTTATCAATTTGTAGTTTTCAGTGAAAACTGGAAGTAGAGAGGGCTATTAGAAAAGTATCCGACCTTATTGTTTTTTCCTTGCAAGCACCTGATGGATTTGAAACAAGGGCGCTTGCATCAGCGGACCTTGAACCTTCGTGTGCATGTGTGAATTTTTTTCCAGCCTGCCAATAGCGTCAGTCGCTGGGATGCAGCGTTTGAATCGGGTTGTGCGCAGTGCTCTCGTAGGTTTCTCATTGCTAGGAAAATGACTGAGTGACTGGAACAGCGCTACTGCTTAAACTTTTGCCAGAAACTGGGCCATAGCCAAGTGGAAACCATTGGAAAGATCAAGACCGCTTTCAGTGACGACGCTACGAGCTATACACAGATTAAGGAGTGGTACAACCGGCTTAAAGACGGCCGCACATCAGTGGAGAGCGAGCTACGCTCCGGTCGGCCATCAACATGCCGAAGTGACTAAGTCATTGCCGAAGTGAATGCTGTGGTGATGCAGGATCGTCGTGTGACTATCTGGGAAATCGCAGAAGAGGTGGGCATCAGCCCTTCCACTGCACATTCCATTATGGTAGAAGATTTGGCCATGAAGAGAGTTGCAGAAGAATTCGTGCCGAAACTGCTCACGGTGGAGTAAAAGCAACTTCATGTTGAAGTCTCACTAGACATGCTGGATTTCACAAGCAGTGACCCTAATTTGATGAACACCATTATCACTGGTGACGAGTCTTGGGTGTACGGGTGCTAACTGAAACCAAATTTCAGTCATCATAGTGGAAGCATTCGATGTCACCAAGACCAAAGAAGGCCCGCCAAGTGCGTAGCAATGTCACAGTGATGCTGAGTGCTTTCTTTGACTCCCACGATGTGGTACACCACGAGTATGCACCACAGAGCCAAACAATGGCCAAAGAGTACTACAGGGATGTCCTCCATCACCTACGCGATGCTCTGCGGCGCAAGAGACCTGAGTTGTGATCATCAGGAAACTGGCGCATCTATTACGAAAATGCTCCTGCACATTCCTCACACTCGGTTCAGACTTTTTTTGGCAAAAAGTCACTGTAGTTTCACTGGCTCCTTACTCTCCTGATATGGCTTCCTGCGATTTTTGGCTGTTTCCCAAACTCAAGAGGACATTGAAAAGAGAGTCATTTCAGACAAGGGAGGACATTATGGCTGCAACGACAGCTAATCTAAACTCCATTCTGAAAGAGGCCTTCTCGAAACGCTTCCAACTATGGCAGCACTGCTGGGAGAAGTGTGTGGAGTCCCAAGGGGACAACTTTGCGGAGGATAGGTTTTAAACTCTCCAACTATGTAAGTTTTTTTCTTCTACCAAAGGTCGGATATTTTTCCAACAGACCTCGTATATATGAAGAGAGAATTGTAATGGAAAATTTCACCGCAAAAGAAACCTTAGAAGTTTTTTTCAATTTTTCGAAAATTTCACCACAAACCCCACCCACCACCGGAGATCGTCATTCTGCTGTGACGTCATGTACTGCATGGAGTGAAGTCGTCTTCTACCACAGCTTCACCTGCTGCTGATTATTCAATTTCAGTGCCAAGCTCAATAAAGCTAAATTATTACGACTTCATGCGCAAAGCCCCCACTTTGTGAAATCTTGAAACATGAGTAATAAATGATACATAAGACTACTTACGAAGAATCATTACTGATAACTGTCAGATTAATATATATATGTATATATTGCAGATAGAAATATGTCACGACGCTCAAATAAATTTACTGAGTATGCATTTATAATTAGAATCATTACTGGTCATTGTCCGATTCACGTTATAACTAAATTTATGTGTCACGGAAGTAAATAGGTCACAACTTGAAAATGAATATGCATAGTATACCTTTTTAAATAAAATACTTTATTATTTTGGCTATCTAGTTGACATTAAATTTGGAGCCTCTAAGTTTTGAATATTTCTAATTACATTATTAATGCAAAGTTGAGCTGTCGTATCAGCGAGATAAAGACAAGGATCTAGTGCTTCCTTGTTGCTTCAATTGGACAGTCAAACTCGCCGCGTGCATCTAATGAAGCGCATGCATGGGGAACCATCTGCCGAAAAACGCCGTCCACCTGAAATCTGTCAAGTGATCGTGGTGCGCTCTGTAGCTCGTTAGCTACAAACTGGTGCTTTTATTTGCCTTAGATCCATGTCCTTAAGCTTCGACAGCAAAGTTTTTGCGTGGATTAGGTACAATTTTTGAAAAGCTTACTGAAAGAATAAATTCTGTAGGCTTACTAAGGTGCTCTTTGAATCACGGAGGACCTATATTTGGTGTGTGTCAGTTGTTGCTTATCCTCCGTAGTTGGCGCCACTTGACCATGTGGCAGTGGCGATACATGTTAATTGGCACTACACTATGCCTTTACGCTTTGCGTTACAGGCAAGCAAAAAAATGCTTTTGTACTCCTATGGCACAGTCCGGAAAGCAGGTGTTTATTTTTTCTCTGGTCGCTGACACGCCAGGTACATCGACCGGTGGTCGGCAACATGATTCATCGATTGACAACACACTTAAGCAAGTCGCCTGCTAAAACAAAGTGCGGCTTTGCTGCGTAAATATGGTTGCTAACTAGGCAAGATGGTGGACCTATGCGCAACTCTGCTCCCGTAGGGAGCATAAACAGGAACTCTAGTCTTTATGGCCTCTAAGATGTCAACAATAGTGCTTCTGTACCTTCCCCTGTGCTGTGTTGTCCTTGTGTTGCAAGGCCAACTTGATAGACTTGCACAGCACAAAAGGAAGAGACAGATTAATTAGTTTGGAATGACTTGGCACTCCTTTGTCCTTTCATCCTGTATATTTTTACACATTAGCCTCAAAGGGCCTGAAACCACCTCGGGTATTTTTCAAACATTATAAGTAAACATGCGCACCATGTACAGAATGCTGTTGCTAGCAACGATGCCACACGTGATGCTACTAAAAGCCACAGCACCACAAATTCTAAGAAGCAACTCTGCATGTCAGGGCCTTTCAAGCTTCCCCTTTGATGTGCAGGGCATTGGTATGTTGCATCTTTGATGTTATCAACAATCAAGGCCGCGATTGGTCGAACAATTCTGGTTAGTCTTCAAGCAGCTGTCCCTCCTCCTTGCTGTTCTTCATTATGTTGCCCACGTGTACGAGGTTGCGTATCTGCAGCTACGGCCGGTAACGTTAGTGCAAAATTGTTATTGTACCAACACGGTCATTTCTAATAGTCTTGGTAAGCTGCACTAACTGAATCAACAACAGTGGGTAGCAAAGAAGCATGCAGTTGACATATTCGCAGTAAGCGGAAGTGGGCACCGCTTTGAAGAGGGTGTCCGTGATAGAAGTTGAAATGGCTCCAGCCATATTCCTAGACAGCCCAATGTTTTGTGACCAAACTTCTCTATAACTTGGCTGTAGCCATTTCACCTTCTTGCATCTTCTACTTAGCCAGACAGATTGCTGTTAAAATGTTTACATTTATCTGTTGTTGATGACATATGTCATGGGAGATTGGGTAGGGCACTTGGCTAGGTGGGCAAAGCGGCTTTGGCGGTGGATAGCAAATTTGCTGAACATTTTGTAACTGGCGCAAAGCTAGAAAGATACTTAATTTCAGTCACTGGGTTGTTTAGGGAACGTTAAGCTAGGTCAGTATTCAGGACAGAACCACGGCAACAATTTTTCATCGGGAATGCAGAATTGTGCCTAGTTGCCATCCTTGTCATCCTTCCCCCTGTCAACGTGTTTATTTGACTGTTCCTCGCAATGGCCATCATGCGAAAGCCTAGTCTCTCATGCCGCATGGCTTGGCTTACTGTGACCTTCCTGGTGCTTTGATTTGCAGGCCTGTCATGGTCTCTGGAAGGGGGTGCATCTAATGGCGAACCACCAGCAACAGCCAGCGCATGACTTTGCACCTTCTTGGCTCAAGATACCCACCTATGACACTGCGGTGAGTGAGGCAAGCCTTATTCTGTGTTACCTGAAAGCTGCCAAGCACAAATCTATCACTGCAGTTTGCTGAATTGCCTCTTTGCTCCTCTGTGATTTTCAGTGATCATTTCGTGCACTCCGATCTAGATTGTTGTTTTTATAATTTAAGTGAATAGTGGTCTTGAACTTTTGTGCGTGTTTTTGAGGTGATTGCCACCGGCTCAAATTTGCCGATTCACAGTGTTTATTGGGTAAAAAACAAGCATATATATATAGATGTACATCATATTAAAAAACTTTTAGGAAAGGTAACGTAAACTCTGGTACTACATTTTGCGAGTACTGGGTAAGTGCACAAATTCGGCATCACTGAGTGAAATAAACATGAGGCTGGCACACTTATTTCCTTTCCTTCAAGTATAGAAGGCCGCAATGACTTTTCTTGCTATCTGCTCAGTATGATTGGACAGTGTTGTCATGCTAAAGAAGGGCGTGCAGTCACATTCCTGACAATGAGTGGCAAGAGAGAATGACTCTGCGTCTGACAATGAACATTCCTTTTCCCTAAGACAAATGTTGGCGCATCTTCCGCTCTAAGCAATGTAAGTTTTTACGCACGATAATAGTATATGGTAGGCAAAGGCCTCCTTGTAATCAGTACAGTGAAAAGTGTGGTTAAATTCTGCAGTTATTAGGAACACTATTGCCGACTTTGCTTTGCTTAACAATGCTATTGTGCACTTTTTTTACACACATGGACTGAAGCCTATGCGACAACGAAAAGATTACGTCAGTGTGGTGTTTTAGAGGCATAGGCTCTTTGCTTACAGTCATGAACGTTGTTGGTAATTTCTGCATTGCATCTTGCATTGAAGCTTTGCTCTGGAAACGGTGGTTGTTGTCGCATTGCTTGCAAAATGCTGAATCTGTTCTTAAAGCTGGAAGTTTGTTTATGGTTCTGATAATACACTACAAAACAGTATCATCTGAGCAGTGGAGCTACTACAGGTTGTTTCCTGCAAAACATCTGGGCGCCGCCATCATGGGCCGTTAAAAGAAAACTAAAGGCAGCTATTAAGTCAACGTTGATTGTTGAAATGGCGGTCCAAAAACCTTGTAGTGTTACTTTTGTGCCAAGGAAGTGCTTATTTTGAAATAAACCACATTTTAGTGGTCTTCATCGGGTTAGCACACTTCAAGTTACTCGCCCAAACGGTACGTCTCGCGTCACTGCTGCCGTACACAATGTTGCCCGACTTTTCTGTGCGGCCGCTGACACTAGTAGCAGCAGAACGAAAGCAGTGGGTGTCACAACAGCAGTAGCCGCAATTCAATAATCGGCTGCCATTCGCTCAGAGATGGCAGACTAACGCGTCACTGCTGCCGTACACAGTGTTGCCCGACTTTTCTGTGCGGCCGCTGACACTAGTAGCAGCAGAACGAAAGCAGTGGGAGTCACCAACAGCAGTAGCCGCAATTCAATAATCGGCTGCCATTCGCTCAGAGATGGCAGACTAACGTTATTGGTTCAACTGGGCCCTGCTGGATGGCCCGACCTGTCCCATTTAACCAGGCTAAAATTAAAGTTTCGAACCACGTGCACCATTCCCCATAGTAATGTCTGGCGGTTCTTTTTTCCATGAATCAAACAGAAACGAACAAGCAGCGTTTTATTACGTCTCTTGATGCACGGAACGTTCTTTATTTAGTGCAGCTAGTTCGATTACTCGTGATTAATTGTAAGGAGTTCATGTGACGTCATTAAAATCATTTTGAAAATTTTCTACTGCGCCACATGTATACTTGTGCATCATTTACCTTAATTTCTCGGTAAGTGGGGCACTGCTGTTAATAATATTGTCATTTTAGACGTCGTACATTGAGCTTTCACTCTGATGTCAATTTTTATTTGACATGAGTGTGCCTTTAAGCCAATGTTTCCTTGTTTTTGTGTATCGAGACGTGAACCATGAAACATCACATTCACCAACCAAACAGTTTTCATGCGTATGTGTCTACAGTAACACTGTTTGTTTAGTTTTTGTTAAAGATACAGAACACAAAGGCTAACAGCCCTATGTGGCCGCACTCAAACCCGCCCGTCTATAGTGTATAGAAGGAAGGCATTTTCTTATTGACTCGGCCTGCAGCACTATGAAGTGCAGTGGTCAGCAATAGAACAGTGCACATGCAACAAGAATGTAATGAAAATCTCAGTTACGTTACCTTAGTATGGTCAGGCAATTGTTGGCATTGCAAAAATATATGTTTACACATATATGCACACGAACAGCAAAAAAATGAAAGAAGAAATGCAAAACCTGTACAGTAAAGGCAATTGTGATTCCTAGCAATTCATTCAAAGGAATGTAATGACAGCTGCTTATTTGAAATGGTGTTGGGGTGTATGAATCTAACTTGATATAAATTTAATAGCTCGAAGGACTAATCAAACAGATTATTGAATGCCCATATTAGCGTTTGAGTAATGAACAGCTGTCCATACTATTTATGGGAAATAAATTTCACAGTGTAACATATGGACAACATTAGCTGTTTTCGTCTTCGTTAAAAAGCAGCAGCCGTGCATCAGAAGTGAATAAACAGCCGATTCACGCGCTGGGGCCCCAACCTACGGTGCAAGTTCTAGTAGTTGAGCCTTACGAAGGATAGCCTGGTTTGCGGAGCAACATAGCATGCTCCGCCACGTACATTTTATGTTTACAAAATTTACTGTGAAGTTTGCAAGGAAGCTACTTGTTAAAGCAAGATGGGATTCGAAAAAAAAAAAAAGTTCCTTTAATCTGTAGCAGAAGGCAATGAAATGTTCGCTGTATATGTAGGCTTATATGCTGATGTCAAATATGTAATTATTTTACAGGAAGTTGCACAGTTTTTGTTTTATGCCATGCCAATTGTTAAGAGTGCAGCTCTTTTTGGGAAAACCTTTTCTTCCACTAAATTTTTATGGTTCTGAGTCATTAATGGCTCATATTGCTCTATAATAACTGTAGAATGGAAATAAGTATAGAGAAAGTGAATATAAGACATTTTAATGGACAAGAAAAATTGTAATATAAAACTTCTTAGAATTGTCAGCCCATGCTAATTGTTTGCTTTAGGCTCGTAATAATTATACTGGCGACAACAAGTTTTAAAGGATATACTTGCACCCTTCACATGTTAAAGAATGTGGGCAAAAATTTCACTCTGATCTGGCTCTCAGAAGTACTGAAAACATGATTTTCAAGCTCAAGAAACTTTCTCTAAAATGGATCTTGAGAAGAATGCATTTTATAGGTTTAAGTGAAAACTCATCTATGCGGAATAGGTATGTTTTTTAAGATGACTTCTTCAATAATGAGAGCTTGGCAATCATGGTTATTTGGAGCATGTGGCTTTAGTGAACTTCTTTAGCAATTATTGTGTGAAATGCAATGGCAAATAGCCAAGGTACGATTTCCAGGACACTCTAGATGATGAGCTCTTTTTAATTTTAGTAGCCGCCTTGTGGTATTTATGAGCGATTTTAACCTACTTTGAATCTAATTACTATTTTAAGATTTTTGTCTTGAAAGTAGAGAAGCTGGACTTGGTTAAAGCAAATAAAACGAAAAATATGTAATTTTTGAGAAAAAAACTTCCATTTTTCGATTCTCATTTTCCCTTAAAGGGGCCCTAAAGCACTCTTTTAAGTAGCCATGGAACGCATTCACTAAAGGGGCTTATTGCCTCACGAATCAAATGCAAGAAAAAATTTTTAGAATCCGTCCAGTGCGAGTGGAGTTACAAAGATTTGTTGCACGCTGCAGTGGCATTCTTTCCTTTCTTGTCTTGAAGAAAGTGCTGGAAGCTGAGCAGGGAGGGATGGCACCTCGTCACCTTGAGCGCACTTTTTTCTTCGAATGTCCAGTTTCTCAGTGCCATCGCGCGCGTACACGGGGAAAAGTCGCGGCCTTTCACGCAGGTCCCAGTAACGACCGAGCGCGCTATGCACGGATCAGCCAATGGCTCGTACTAGGCATGGGATGTAGTGATCTTGAGCCTGTACTGTGATTTGTTGAGAGAAGAGAAAGCGTTTTTCACTGACTGTGAATTTATCGCAAGTTACAGGCCGTGTGCTGCGCTAATACATTTGGCGCGTGTTCTCGGGAGCCTCGACTACTGATTGGCAGCGTTTTTTTACCATGCTCAAAAAGTGTTGTAGAGCCCGTAGAGTTTCCTAATATACACTGGAGGGAACTCTGGCGCTAGTGTTTATGGGAGCCGCAACGCACGTGGCTTCAGCGAGCATGGGAATGATGGATAGTACACAGATTTGTCTATTTTTCGTACTTCTGGCCTGCTTCTGGCTCCGTGTGTGTTCGTGTGGCTTGGAGCTGTTTTCTCACGAAACAATCGGCAAATGTTCAGTGGTTGTGTTTCATCTCCTTATTATTTCAGGCTTACCATTTCGAATTGGATCACGAAGTGCAAAAGGGTTTGTTCTTTCCTTCAAAACGAAATCGTAACCAGTGAAAAAGGGTTTATTAGTTTTGTTAACGATACAGAACACAAAGGCTAACAGCCCTATGTGGCCGCACTCAAACCCGCCCGTCTATAGTGTATAGAAGGAAGGCATTTTCTTATTGACTCGGCCTGCAGCACTATGAAGTGCAGTGGTCAGCAATAGAACAGTGCACATGCAACAAGAATGTAATGAAAATCTCAGTTACGTTACCTTAGTATGGTCAGGCAATTGTTGGCATTGCAAAAATATATGTTTACACATATATGCACACGAACAGCAAAAAAATGAAAGAAGAAATGCAAAACCTGTACAGTAAAGGCAATTGTGATTCCTAGCAATTCATTCAAAGGAATGTAATGACAGCTGCTTATTTGAAATGGTGTTGGGGTGTATGAATCTAACTTGATATAAATTTAATAGCTCGAAGGACTAATCAAACAGATTATTGAATGCCCATATTAGCGTTTGAGTAATGAACAGCTGTCCATACTATTTATGGGAAATAAATT